ACAGATGGGATTCAATCTTGTATTTGAGCATTGCCACACTGCTTTCCTAATACTCACTTAGGAGGGAAAAAAAAAGGGTCCTTCTATTCCAATCCAAGGGGAGTAAAAGCATACCCTGTGTAAGTGGAGGAAAAACAGTCCTTCATTTTCCTCTCCTACTTAAGAAATAAGAAAAACATATTGTTGGTAAAAGCCTGCTGACTTTGCCTGGTTCTGACTTGACTTGGTTCTGAAGAAGAGAAGATGTATCCAGAGTCCAGGGTACACAGGGAAGAATGATGGATGTGGCAGATCTAATCTTGGAGGTTCTTTTTGATGGTGGAGTATTTAAATCTCTACCACTCTCAGTGCATGATGGTAAAAGATACACAAATTTAGTAAAAAAATTTAGTAAAAAAACTATTTCATGTGAAAATATCTGTTTTGGATTACATGTTTCTGTAACACTAATAAGAATTATTGATGTCTCTTTCCAAGACTGTATCTTTTAGTTTTGGTAGTTGCATTTACATACCAATGTATGAGACCAAGTATAAACCCAAAGAGAATTATTGTTTATACTCCCAAGATAGGATTCTGTGCCTAGCTTTCTGTACTCTTACCAATAATTGCTTTTTCATTTCTGTGACATTCAGTTTCACTCAAAAAGACTTTCACTAAAAATTGCTTGTTTGTGTAACTCATAAGATTTGCAGATTATGTGTAAATTGGCTACAACCATCAAGCCAAATCTTATTACCCTGCATGTATATATTACATTGAGATAATATAAACATTCTAGTTCATTAAAAATGTGCAATTGTGTAGAGAATGCTTTACAAATATTAAGTGCACAATAAACGTTAATCAAATAAGTAAATATCTGCTCTAATGAAAATCTGATTTAAAGGTACTAGAGAGCTTTAATTCCAACATTGGTCATTCAGACTTGTTAAGTCAGAAACAACTATTTTCCCCCAAGGATGCCAAGAAGATTGGGATGTAAACAAATGAAGTTTGCTGGTACCTATTATGGTGGAAGGAGAGAATTTCTTTGGGTTAGACAATGTTATTAAGCAAACAATAGAGCGAAGTACCTAAGGATGGGACCCTGGGGGTCAGGAAGCGTTTTAGAATTTTAACACCAGTTGCTGTGTTGCTGTGACCCTAGATATTAACTTTTTCAGGTTTGTTTTTTCTTTTCTGTAAGATGAGTATTATGGTAGCAGGGAGTGGTACCTCAAGAGATGTTTTTTAAATGTTCTGTGAATATATCACAGGGCCTACCACTATTGAAGGGATCAATGAACTATGACCTATCAATGCTAATTTATAGGAGATTTTAGTGCCTCTAAGTATATATTGGTTGGCTATTTGAAAGACTTTATTTTTGGTATGTAACACCAATGAATGATATTTCCAATAATTTCTTATTTTGAGGGTTCTCCTAAGACTCAAAGAAGGCTCAAATATTAGATGAAACTATCTTTAAAATAAATGTAATTTAAAATATTATAATTTTATAATGCATGTGATCTTATAAGCATTAAATTTATGTATTATGAAATCTTGATTTTATATATGAAAGAAATACTTTGTGAACAAAAATTTCTTTTCATTAACTAACTTGAGATTTATACTTTTTACTCTGTTGTGATTATAAAGGTGAATGAGATACTGTCTTTATCTTTACAAAAGTGATAGTCCAGTTGAATATTTAATGATGAAATTATGGTGTAAGAAGAGTATTAGAAAAGAATTAATTCCATAAAAGAATAAAGTCAAGCATTTAATTTATGTCTTGAGCTACTGAGAATAGGAGTATGTTTTTGCAAACATATTTAAACTCAATTTTATTCACTATTATGCACATGTGTATATTTATGAATTTTGAAAACAAAGCAAAAAAGTCCTCTTTTTCCAGGTATCATTGCCTGTTTGTAGGAAGAAAAAATAATGGTTTTTTTCAACCTTAAGTAAAGATACTATTTCCCTAAAGGAAAATTATATGTATGCATAAACTGACATGAAAGGCTTGCATAACACAATCAAGTAAACAGTGAAATAGTTCCTAAATAGCAAAATCTATTCAACAGGAGTCATATTTGTACTTTCTGCATTCCTTCATTTTAAGTATTATATTTTCTTTCAAAATCTGCTGGGCAGTGCCATATATCATTTTAGAAAAGAAAAGGTAAAATTCTTTTCCTTTAATACTGACAAGAATAACAAATACCCCATCTCTCCTTGTCCTTTGACTTGGGTGACTTGTGCCCTCGTGTGTGACCACAAGGTACCCTTTCTATTGACAGTTACAAGCAAAGGAGAGATCCCTTGATGGATCCTGTGCACAGTCAAAATAAGCCAAGATGTTCAGAATGATTTGGGCAGCCCAATTGTAGCTATGCAGGGTGCAATTCAGCCATGCTGCCAGACATTCGGGTGAAACAGGAGACAGAATGAGCATGCCCAAATCTACCATATTCATTCATGAATGAAATGAATGAAATGAAAAATGAATTTGGATCTCCTGTCCAACTTCACTTTGTATCTCATTACTTAGGACTTTTTTTTTTAAACTGCTAAAGATAAAAAAAAATTCTCATACCAGATTATTACTGTTAGAGTTAAACCCAATTTTATAGTTTAAGCTGTATGCAGTAAATTTTGTTTTCAAGAGGCATATTAGACATTGTTTTCTCTTCTAATTTGATATTAATGATGAAAGCACACCTGACTGCCATCTGTCACAGGTGTCATCTGATGAAATGCTGGTTCTTTAGCTTCACTTTGATGTTCTGTCTGCTAAGGCAAATAAGAACTGAATAAATCCATAGTGCTGACTTCCTCACTCTGAACTGTTGTTCCCTGCAGGTAACCTCGTGATAGAATTAAGATGGTATATTTTCCAAAGCTTTTGAAAATCATTTGTACCTTACCTCAACAGACCAAGATTAAGGTGTGCTGACATGGTACCAACATGGGAAAGGAAAACTACTACCTGGAGGAAAAAGAGATGGAGAACACGAGGACAGCCTTATTAATTTCATTTAGTCTTTTCATTATCAGGTTTTTATTCAATCATATGGTTAACAAGGGCTAGGTGCCTACAGGGTCCCCCCACCCCCCCCAAAAAAAGAAGTACAGCAGGATTGGAGGTACAGACAAGCCTGGAAATTCTGCATATTAAATGAGAGTGAGAGGAACATCTCCTTAACATAACACATCAGGAAAAGTTTCTCACAGGAGTTAAACCCTGAGGTGCAATTTGATGGATGGACATTGTATCCTAAGCTTATTTCCATTGTACTGAAGGATTTATTAAATTTTTTATGGCTGGATTTATTCTATTTTGGTCACCCATAATATTAAATGTTAGACTTTTTTTTTTTCTAAATGGTTGCTACTCTAGTGAGATTTACTTTTTATATATTGAAAATTTTAAAATAAGTTCAGTGTCTAATTACAAAGAAATAGTGAAATAAATCATGTCATGGATATGAAATAGAAGATTTTATATAATTAAAATTAATCTTACTGACTTTTAAAAATGATTTAAAACACGAAAAGTGAAGTAAAACCTGGATTACATACATTTCTATATTATAATATATAAATTTAAAGTATACAAATTTATATGTGTAAGAAAATATTATAGAAGGAAACATTACCAAAATTTTATCTGTAGCTAATTGCAGATACTGGACTTATGAGTGATTACTAATTTCTTTTTTTATTCTTGGCTTTTAAGAAAGAGCTTTTTTTCCTAAAGATCATGTCTTATTTTACAATCAGAAAGACAGATTTTTTTAAAACAATTGAGCCTGCAATAACATCTCTTTGCCTAGAGTTCTAAAAAATTTGACTTTTGAATTAAATAAAATAAATAGTTTTATGGTTTTGAACGTTATTTCTAGTGCATTTTCTAGATTATTCTTGCCAGCTTAAATGAGCCCCAAGTATATCAGTAATATTAGCACTGAAATGAAGTCAAAGAAGAAAGAAAAAATGCCTAATTTAATAAGGTATTTTAGTTTTAATTTCCCGCATTAGAAGACATCATGATTTTTTCCCTGTTTGATTTCTAGGTGCTAAAAGCATTCCTCTTGTTCAAATTATATACAATGTCTTTAGTTTATATTTCTGTTATTTTATTTTTTCATAAGAATTATTAAAGGGGAGGTACTGGGGAATGAAACTGATCAAATTGTTATGTGTGTATATGAATATATCACAATGTATAACCACTACTATGTGCAATTATAATGCACCAATTAAAAAATTTTAAAAAGAATTCTCCATACAGCCTTAACATTACAATGTGCCATTTACTGCCCTTATCTTTCTCCAGCTGCATTCTTTTTATTTAATGTTGTTTCTTCAGCAGTTTATTTTTTTTCTTTAGCAGTTTTAAATGGTCAAATTTGTCAATGTTTCCCTTTGTGACTTGACTTACATTATCCAATTTTAAAAGTCTTTTGCCCCTCAGGTTTCTACAGGTGTTAAATTATTTTGTTGTTTTACAATTGTTTTCTGCAGTTTTTAATTAAATACTTTAAAAGAGCTTTTATAAAATAAAAAAGGATTGGAGATATGGTTCAGTGGTTAAGTGCTCCTGGGTTCAATCCCTGGTAAATAAATAAATCAACAAATAATAAAATAACTTTTACACAAAGTATTGGTCTATTCTAGTCAAATATTAACAAATGATCCCAACATTATTTGCATGCTATATGACACTTCCTTTAATTATATACAGGTATGTTTGCGTATATGTATTTATGTCCATGTACAGATAAACCCAGATAGACATAGTGTATATATGTGCAGAGTATTACTCTTAAATTTATTAGCTTATTATTGCAGTTTTTACACCTGTCTATAATTTTGTATATCTGGTTAAACTACCACACTGCTTTAATTAGAATTCCTTCAAATTTTAATGAATTGCAATATTTATATGTTAGTCAATAATTAATATTCTTGCCTCTTTTCTAAATTAACTTTAAGCCAATTTCTGTCATGCTCTAAGAAAAAAATCATCAGTGGTATTTAAGATGCAGAATTATATTAATTGTACAAATTAATTTTCAAATTTGACTAACTTAAATAATTATATAGAACTTAAAAATTATTTGAACTGTGAACTTTCTGACTTTTTCTGTCAAGAGACACTGATCATCCTCACAGAAGCATGAATGTAAATACAACCCCTAACCCTATTGGCTTCTCCCCTTTTCCCCTGCAGGTCTCTAAAAGGCAACAGACCCCACAAACACACCCGAGTGTATTTTACCTGTGTTGTTGATGGTTATAGATGAACGCATCATAATTCAAGGGAGTAACTTCCCAAAATGTTAAAGAATTTAAGCAATTACAGGTTCCTTCTAAGATGAACAAATGTGTTTAGGAGAAGACATTGAATCTAAAAGTCAAGGCTGGGGTTGTATCTCAGTGCTAGAGTGCTTGCCTAGCACTGGTGAAGCACTGGGTTTGCTCCTCAGCACCACATACAAGCAAAAAACAAAGTAAAGGTTAAATTCATTAAAAAATGATTTAAGTCATGCTTACCTCATGACAAATGGTGAATTCTCAGGTTACCTAACACCTGAGATTTCAGTTTTGAAATCTTGAAATTCAGTTTTGAAAATAAGAGCATTGAGTAGAACGGAGCAGTCAGTTCTGGGTCACAGGTCAGTTGTGAGAAAATTAAATGTAGTCTTAGTCATAAACTTATGGCTTTGACAGAAGAAATCAGAATATGAAAGATTGTATGAAGGAATATTTTAAAATGTATGAAAAGTAGAGTAATGAATATAGACTAACACATCAATTATTGCAATTCATTAAAATTTAAGCAATGCTGTGGAGAGTCTTGTGGAAAGGTTGTGGGCATATATGGATGCCCCACTGCAATTTTGTGGGGAGGCCAGCTGTTTGTGTAACATGGGCACCTACATTTGACTCATGGGTCATGGTATAAGATGATGCTTTGATTTCCAGTTTTCCATTTATTCTTTTTTTATTATAGAAAATTGAACTCAGAGGTGATTTACTTCTGAGCCACATTCCCCAACCCTATATTCTTGTTTTTCATTTTGAGACAGTCTTACTACGTTCTTAGGACCTCACTACCTTGCTGCTCTGGAACTCCTCCAGCTTCAGCCTCCCAAGTCTCTGGGATTACAGGCATGTGCCACTGTGCCTGGCTCCCACTTTCCTTTTAGCCCAGTTAACATCCCTGATACCCACTGCCCTCTATCTTAGGCCCAACCCACATCTTGATTCTATCATATCAGAGGCGTGATTATCAGTAGATAATAGGTCAAATACCTTTTCTATATTATTCATTATTCATTGTCATCCATATACTTAGCATTAAGCACTGTGTTGCAACTTTTATTTATTTGATTTGCTTCCCAGAATGTCTGAAGAGTGCATATTATTCTTGATTTGCACTTAATTTTTGCTGCTGTTCTTGTTCCACATGTCAATAAGAGTTTGCAGTTTTTCCATATATGGACAACTGTGAAGATGATATCTGCACCTCCATCAAATTCTATAACCTGAAGCATATCATTACATTCCACCTGCTGCTGGATCCCTCCAATGAGCAAACTGGCCATCTTGGTGGGCTGTGGATTAAGTGGTGTGCTTTCTATGGTCAGTGTCTGGAAATAGGTTGAGTGTCTCTAGGCCTCCCCACAGCTCTGCTAATAGTCTGTTATCACATCTCATCTTTCTCTCCCCTAATTTGTTCATTAATCTCTTCAGAATTTTTATTTAACATGTTTGTCAAGGACAAGCAGAAGTAATTCCAATGTAACACTTTAAAAGACCTGTAGAAGTGACTCAAGGAAGCTAGAGTGGTCTGGAGGCAGTCTATAAATTCAGTGTTAATACTAACAGAAAAATGTGACTCTTTAGTAATGTGTTATGGTCAGAGATTCCTGTTCAAAACATTGACTATTCAGATGCACATCTTTTGCTCCCAGTTATCAGTCATAAAGGTAGGGCTATGAGTTGATCCACGTACAATTTTAATACATGACACAATGATAGATATTACTAAGGTAAAGCTATAGGAAAAGGAGGACAAGATTTTGAGCAGGGAACCATGATTCAAATTTTTGGTTTACTATATATTAATTGAGTGTCTGAGCAAGTTTATTGACCTTTCTAAGTCTCTGTTCATTTATGCACAAAATATGGTTTATATTGTCAAGTTATTAATAAGATTCAATAAAACAACATATAGGAAAAACTGTATGGATTCAGGCACACAATAGGAAATTTGATCAGAAAATAGATAATAGATAATAAATAATAATAGATAATAAATAACATTAGATAATAGGTCAATTAATAAGATTTATTAAAGAATTTATTTACAAGATACGGACAGAGTGTAACAAAACCAATAAGGAAGAATCTGTTATCAGAGGCCAGAAGGTACAAGGGGATTCAGGAGCTACTGGCTTGTGAAGGCAGAGCTCTGTCTGCAGGACAGGACTGCCTTCAGGGCTCTGGCTTGGACAGAGTAAGCTGCAAGTGCAAACTCTTACTTTATGCCAGGACCATTAAACAGATTCAATCACAGAACAGTGCTAGAGTGCCATTGATCCAGACCTCACAGGCAACGAGACAGTAGAGAATGATGGAAATTGGATTTGAAGGAACAATGGCATTGTCTAACAGAAAGCTCAAGAAACATTTGTTGAATAAATAAAAAGTTGAACCTGCAATCCTAAGTTGTTCCAAAGACACAATAATAGATAGGTGATAGACTGAGAGTTTGATGGAAATATTAAAGAAAGAAAATTAGGTGGAAGAAGGTAATTGGGTAAAGACATTAATTTGTTAAAGATTAAATGAATAGTTAAAAAAGCAATGAGAAAAACATTGGAATAGAAAAATCCATGAGAATGTTTCCTAATGAGGGAGATTTCCAATCTGGAGATCCATGTGGATATGTTATGATTAGATTAAGTCCTATTTCAACATGCTCTGATACATACAGAAAGAGAAGTTTAAAAATATGTATGACTCCTATAATTTTTGAATAATTAACTCCTACTGAAGAGCAAATATGATCTTATTCATTGATTTACTGATTGTTTTAACCTGCAGGCTCTGATCAATATCAGAAGTGGGCTTTTTCTTTTTTGCCTCACAGAAATTTTCCATTTCTCTGATGCAAAGTACTCCAGGTGTTGTAGTGTATTGGGTGTGGTGTGGGTACGTGTTTTCTTTGTGGTATGCCTGCTTGACTCTGACAGCATCTCCAATATTGACGTCAAGGATAATTATTTGAGCTAAGGGTATAAGCAAATGTTTCCTTAATTGCCCACTCAACTGGTACTCTCAGACTTTTCCTAGCCTTTGTGTTTTTAAACATATAAACAACGAAAAGCAAAAATACTATGAGAGAGGAATTGTGGAACAGTCTATTGCTAATATGCTGGTCCCACAGTTTATACACACACACATGCACGTGTGCACATGTATGCATGTCAGATAGATAGATGATTGATAGATAGATAGATAGCAGGTATTTAGAGAGAAAGAGAATAGAAGAATTGAGAATTTTTTTTGTAAGCCAAAGAGAGTAATGTACTGAGACAAAAGATAAAGAGCTAAACGAATAATAGTCCTCTAGTGAAAAAGAACCATAAACCAAAATTTTCCATGTATAATGGAAGGAAGAGAAAGAGAACACGAGACTCCTTTCAGGCCAAAAAAGTTATGTATATTAACCTTAAATGTGGTGGTGAAATGTATAGAAATGTATAGGTTCTAATTGTAATAAAACTATTGGGTCATCATCATGAAACTTTTTTAAATTTAAAATGTTTACTTATTTCTGCTGTTCATGTGATTGTAATGGGGCAATAGCTACCTTCTTCGTGAAAAAAATACACATACTGTTTTGTCTTATGCTATTTTGACTTTATTCACAGCAACACAGATAATACAATCAATTTTATGAGACTCAGATGCAAAACTAAATATATTCATCTATGTGGTCTACTGATGGGAAGTAGAATCAAATATTTCACTTTTAAGATCACCAAGCAAAAGAAAAATCAGTTGTGATTCCAAGAAGAGATGAACTCAAGTGGTAAGAAAATATTTGTTTTATGATTTTCAGAAATAATTATAAATCCCATACTGTAAAAATTGCCAAATACCAGAGCTTATTATTTGTTTTTTAGCAAAAGCATAACTGGTGCATGAAGGGACACATTTATATTTGAGAAAAATGCAACTATATGAATACTTAAATTACTTTTTTAAACATAAATTGTACATAAGTTTAGGTGTCATTGAAAAGAACTTCTAATGCTTAGAGCTCTGTGTAGTAATTGTGAACTTCTTGAGGAGCAAAGCCATGGTTCAGCTTCTGTTTTCATGTGCTGTTTTGAACTTAGTTGACCATATTGGACTTATTTCTCTATCTAGGCAAAAACCTTGATTTATGTGTCCTAGGCTTCTTTTAATTTCAAAACTCAAATTCTGTAATCAGAAAATATATGCCCACTTGTCAACATTTTTCCTATGTCCTTTTATAAAACAGTTTTTATTTTTTAAAGCAGTTTTAGGTTCACTGCAAAAATGAGTGGAAGGTCCAGTGTGTTCCCAGATACCCTCTAGCCCCATACTTGCATGTCTTTCCCCATTACCTACATCCTCCATCAAAGTTGTACATTTGCTACAATTAATGCATGAACCTTGATACATCATTACCAGAAGTCCCTAGTTTACAATAGTGTTCACTCTTGATGTGCATTCTACAGATTTGAACAAATTTATAATGATAGGTATTCATCATTATAGTGTTACTCAGAGTACTTTCACTGCCTTGAGATCCTTCTGCTCTGCATATTTATCTTTAACACTAGCAACTATTGAACTCTTTACTGTCTTTCATATCTTTTGCTTTTTCAGAATGTCATATGGTTGAAACAGTGTAGTATGCAGCCTCTTTCTCTATGGATTTCTCCATGTTTTTCATGGTTTGAGAACTTATTTTTTTTAGTACTGAATAATATTCCATTGTTTGGATGTATGTCAGTGGATTTCTCAATTCATCTATGGAAGGGCATCTAGGTTGTTTTTAAAATTTTGACCATTATGAATATAGTTACTATAAATATCTGTGTGTATGTTTTGGTGTGAACATAAGTTTTCAACTCCTTTGGGTAAATACCACGGAGCATGACTGCTGGGTAGTATAGTAAGGATACAGTTAGTTTTTTAAGAAACCTCCAAAATGTATTCCAAAGGGTTTTGCATTCTTACCAGTGATGAATAACAGTTCTTATTAGTCCTTGTACACAGTAGCATTTAGTGTCATTATTCTGTACTTTTATCCATTCTTTAAATGAAGTAGTATCCCATTCTTGATTTAATTTGTGATTCTCTAATGGCATATGATGTTGAACATCCTTTTGTTAGTTAATTTGTCATGTGTATATATCTTCTTTGGTGTGCAGTCCATTTAGAACTTTGGCCCATTTTTAAATTGGGTAGTCTATTTATTGTTGAGTTTTAAGTGTTCTTTGTACCTTCTGTATACCTGTCTTTTATCAGATATCCCATTTTCAAACATTTTCTCCCATTCTTTTGTTTGTTCTTTCGTTATCCTGTCAATGTCTTTTACAGAGAAGCTGTATTTAATTTTAATTAAGTCTAATTTGCCATTATTTCCTTCATGGATCGTGTCTGTGGTATTGTATCTACAAAGTTATCACCAAACCAAAGTCACTTTTTAAAAATTTACATCAATACCCTATTTTGAGGTTAATTCTTATGAAGGCTTAAGGTCTTCGTCTAGATTCATTTTATTTTCTGCATGTGTATATCAGTTGTTACAGCACTGCTTCTACAGAATACTATATGCAGAAGGCTTACACAAAAGACTATTGCTCCATTATATTACTTTTACCACTTTATCAAAGATCAGTTGGCCATATTTATGTGGGTATATTTTGGTCTCTCTCTTTTGTTCCATAGCCCAGTTGTGTATTCTTTTGCCAATAATACACTGTCTTGATTACTATAGCTTTAATAGCAAGCTTTGAAGTTAGGTATTGTCAGTCTTCTATCTTTTTTCTTCTTCAATATTGTGTTGGCTCTGTAATTCCAGCCACTATGGAGGCTGAGGAAAGAGAATTCCAAATTCAATGCCAACCTGGGCAACTTAGTGAGACTCTGTCCCAAAATAAAAAAATAAGAATAAAAAGCGTTGGGGATATAGCTCCGTGGTAGAGCACCCCTGAGCTCTATGTCTAATGCCAAAAAAAAAAAATGGGGGGAAGACGGAGCATTTTTGTCTCTCCGTATGAACTTTATAATCAGTTTTTTCACAGCCACAAAATAAGTTGCTAGGCTTTTAATTGAGATTGCATGAATCCATAGAGATCAAGTTGGGAAGAACCAACATCTTGATGACATCTGACTTCATATGCACAAGCCTAGAATATTTCTTCATTTATTTAATCCCTTTTTATTTTATTTCCCTGGAATCTTATCATTTTCTCTGTATGGATATATTTTTTTAATTTTTAATATTTATTTTTTAGTTCTCGGCAGACACAACATCTTTGTT